GAACAACCGGACTGACAACTGATCCGAGTTTTCACATGTCCGTTCTGGGGTAATCCCGGCCCTGGATGAGTCGGGGTGCGTGTCTCCCAAAAATGATTGATTCGGATCCCGTCTTAGAGGGGGGTCCATAAGCCAGGGTGCTAGTCTCACTTTAGCCACAAAACTCCAACAAGGTGGATGGGTTCCCAGCCTCCCAAACCTCGCTTTCTCCACGACTCCAACAAGGGGTGTAACGCCCGCGTTCTCAGCCTTGAGCTTTGGCCGTCGGCATTGGCCTTCGCAGGGGGCGGAGCTGGATCCAAAGGCTCAGGACAGTTGGGGGCCGTTGGGGGGAGCTCGGCCGTTTTTTTTGTTGCTCCGGTCAAGACTTGAGTTGGTGTTTGTGCACCCCACCGGCAGTAGCCCCCGTCTATAGATGAAGGTTAGAACGGTTAGAGTTGAGGAAAGTCCAGCAAGTAGAAAGGCGAGGCAAAAGATCTGCTTTTGTTCTTTTGCATGGTGGCAAAGTATCGTCCTTTGGATTCGTCGCATGGTTTGGTAATTAGACCCTGATCATGCCTCGCCTGATGCTTGTTATGAATGGCTGAAACCTTTTTAGACGACCACTTTGGTAGAACCACAAATCAACGGGTCACATGACGGTCACATGAATCACATGAATGCAGATGGGTGCAGTTGACAGGCCCTTGTATTTTGCTTTGGCATCTGCCCTGCCAAGAAGTCAAGGAGGGGGTCTTTGGCGGGCTACAGAAAGCACGTGATGAATACCCCCGACGGTTGCTAATCAGGGTGTCGTCCTGGAAGACGTGAAACCTAAACAGGAGCCCCGGTTACGAAAACAAACAGGCTGGACAAGAATCAGGTGCCAACATGACTTGCCATTTGGAGAGGTAGGTGCACACCGTGGATGGACAAAGTGTGCAAAGCGCACCAGTTGGGATGGATGAAGGCCTATTTGAATATCCGGAGCAAAATGGTGCTGGATTTTGTCCATCTACAGAATCACCGCCTTTTGCCGAAGGGAATGCCTGTAAACCGGATTCCGCACTATGACAATTGTCGCGGGTTTTCCGCGGGAGGTTGGGGGCAGTTGGGGCCAATAGGATGGGCCAACCCCTTGCTGAAAGTTTAGACCGTTGAGACAGGTCTCGGATTTCCATTCCCAGGCGCTCCTGGCTTCGGCTTTCCATGGAAGCCCCGACCCCCCCGTTGGACACCCCGGAAGTGTTTGGGGGTCTCAAAACCTGGCTGTTTGAGGGCCCTAAAGCCTCTGGGTTTGAAAAAATCCAGGGCAACTCTTCGGAGAGAGCTGGCGACGAAGCTGCTCGCCTCGTTAGGCCTTCTTTGACCAGCTCCCGCCCGACGGCTTTCTGCCGACTGAGGAGGCCCTGAGAGAGGCCTGGGATGCGCAACGAATGGAAAGGGAGGGTTGCTCCAACAAAGCGCATTTTTTGGGTTGCCAGGTCGCAGGTTTTGGCCCGCTTGTCCAAGTACGAGGGCAGCCCATTTTGGGCCCGATTTTTGAGCCACAGCCAGGAGAATCAGTCTACCTTTCTTGGCGAGTGGGGTTTTTCAACGCAGGTTTAGGCGTGCTGCAGTACTTGAGCGAGTGAAAGTCAAAGTTTGAGACCACGAGCCCAAGAATTGGCATTTTCCCATTTTTGAGTTGTTCCCGGTCTGCCATGTTTGTTTCACCGAAGTTGGGTTCTGAATAGGGCAACTCGTTTTTGTCTTTTCATCTTTTTGGTGTGTCCCTTGTTGACAGAAATAGTGAAAGCCCGAAGGGGTCAAGCTTTTGTTTGCAGTTTGGGCAGAGAAAGGCAATGGTTTGATTGGATGAGGGGGCGCGCCACTATTGTGGGCATTCCAACTTGGGACCCCGAAATGAGCTATCATCACAGCGCGCGAGGTTTGAGCGGATCGCCATTTGTTCAATACAAAATGTAATCATTGTTGCAAAGCCGTCCATTTTTTCAAGACGTGTGCACAATTTTCAGGTGGTCGGTTGCATGCTGGTCGTTTGAAGCCTAGCGTTGACACACACACACACAGCCAAGTTCTGTTCAGAGGACTGGAAAGGGAATATAAGCGGGCATTCACAATTTCGAATGGTATCCTCCTATAGTCAAGACTAACACCCACATCCCCGTTCCAATGATTTATTCGCTTATACTACCCTTGCAAAAGCGGGAGGGCCTGTAGAGGTAAGAAGGAACCTGTCATTTGGCAACTCTCAGTTCTTGTAGCACAAGCTTTCGGAGTGAGGCAAATCTGATCCAAAGTCAAACTGACCCACAGATTCGACCATGGCAAGTGGGGTTGTCTCAAAGCAGGGACCCAAGAAATTATGCTTTTTCTTTTGTTCCCCTCGAAAACCACCCCAAAAAGGGTACACCCAAATGTGGGCGTGTGACTCTTGGCTGAGGCGCTTCTGAACTTTATGGATCAGTGGCAGGAACCAGCTGCCCCGACCATCAACGCTGCGATGCGGGTCAAGGAGGCTGGGGGTATTTTGGGGGGCGGGGCAATTGCGCACATGAATCTCTGATGCGTGTGACTGAATTTGGTTTTGAGGTGCCCCACATTTAAACTATTTGGGCCCTAGTAGTAGGTTTGCTGCCTGGCGTTGGTTTTTTTCCAGCTTCCCCTTTGCACGGGTTCTCCATTTTTGGAGACACCCATGTGTGCATTGTCAAAGCATCCTTCGACTTGACTTTGCAGGGATTGCTATCAACCCTCTTCTAACATGAAATCCCTTTCACCCCTTTTTAGCATTCTCCAGGGATGCAGCCCTGAGGTAATGACTTGACCCCGGTATCAAAGTCCTTCTCTGGGATGGCATCCCCACGAAGCCACACAAGGGCAGTGAGCTCAGAACTTGTGGATTGCATCCCAGAAATGAACTTGCAATCCAGGAAAATGTTCACTCTCCCCAAATCATGTTTCGAAGGACCTTGACCGTGGAACCGCAGAATTGCACGATCCAAACCGGGCCAAGACACCCAAACGGCGAAACCGGGAGCCAGTGGCTGGGTTTCACGCGGCGGAATCTCTTTCCCAAGGGTTGTTTCATATCGTCCGATCGATTCGGTGGAATGGCACCTCTGGTTTTGCTGTCTCTTTTTTTTTCTTCTCTCTCTCAGATGCAAGATGTTTTTCACTACCCTACCAGGTCCCACGGGTAAATGGAATCTATGCATGTATATATGTATACACAACAGTGAATGTATAATATATATATATAATATATATATATATATGCTGTTCCATTGCGTGCTGGGGGCCATCTCCCTTGGGACCCAGTTTGGGTTTGCGGCGCGCCGTGCCACTTGGGCTCCACAGTTTTGGCGAGTCCCCCGAAGAGCGAGCGAGCTGCGAGCTGCGGGCGGGGGTCGGAGCGGAGCCCAGGGGCAGTCGTGGGAGAGTTGAGCGTCCTAACCCGGGTGTCTCCTCCAAACAATGTCAGTCTTTCGGGGTGACTGAATATGAAGCAGAATCACCCGTTTGCGGGGCCACAATCAAAACCCGGTAGATGAAGGCTAGTAAGGGACGATCCCAACCATAAATAGCTTCGAATATCCGCCTTCTCAATTCTTGAAGCATGGTTCTGGGGATCGACCATTTTAATACCGGGGTTTGATTATGACTCCTTTAATGTCGGCTTCCTTAATTGGTGCATTGGAGCCCGGTGGTTTGGTGGTTGAGGAGGGGTTTCCCCTTTCTCTGCAAAAGCCAGGGGTTCAAATCCCCAAACCACCAATCCAAACAACGAATTGAGGGTGACCCCCAATTTCCCATCTCAAAACAAGTAAACGGTAAGGGAGTTTGGGGATGGTGTTAACGAGGGATACAGAGTTCACTCCAACGACAAGTATGGGCTTCGAAAGCATCTTCCAAAATGGCTCTTGGTTTCACGTGTCACTTTTTTCGGGCAACTTTTGGGCATGCCAGTTTCCCCACATATTCGGGCCTTTCCCGCTCGAACAAGAGACCTCCTTCGCCCCTTTGCCCCGGTTTCCGGCTGATGCCCCGAGGCCATGTGGCGTCTCTTCATAAGCCTCCTGTTGGCTGAGCTTTGGGCTGCCGCGCCGGGGACCTGGTGACCTCGAGCATGGCAGGTGGACCAAGGGGCTGTCTGCCCGGATGCACTTGGAAGCCAAGAGGTGGACCCAAAAGGAGACTCTTCACGAGGCCTTTGGGGTCCATGTTAGTCTGGGCCAGATTACTTGATAAGGGCCGCAAGAGAAAAGTCACGGAAGTGAGAATGGGAATCCCAACCATGTGTCTCAACACGGAATCGGGCTGCTCTGGCTTTCCAGCAAAGCAATGCAACCGCGCGTGTTAAAGAAGTTCTCCTTGGGGTGTGTTCCTGGCGAAAGGGGCATTCCTGGGTTCTTCTTTTGGAAGACAACTGAATGCCCGTTTCCTCATTTCGAAGCTCCTCTCAAAAACAATCCCTCCCAAGAGCTGTTCACGAAAATAGTTAAACCACCCTAAGCTTCGTTTTGAGAACCTCGGCGTGCCGCTTGAAAAACCGGCCCATTGACTGCAGCTCTAAGAGTCGGCCGAAAAGTTTGGGCTGAGGGCCCAGCTCGGGCAGATCAAGGGGCGCGTCAGCATTCCCCACAAGTACCAGGCCGATCGAAGCCGCAGATCGGATCAGGCGATCGGATCGGTTGCACAATGTTGACCCGTGGCTGTGGGTCAAAAATAGGTAAGAACGCTGGCAAGTGGACACATGGATCAAAAACTGTGGTTTTCTGGTGGTTTTATTTTGACCCATGCCCATATGAATCAACCCCAGTTTATGAGTATGGGGGTGTTACGCTCCAAAAGTGATGCTTCCCCACATTTCACCCAGGAACACCCCCCCAATTCAATAACTTGGAGGCTGATGATTCTCGCATCCGGACAAACTGTCAAGGTCTTCGGCAGGTGATGGTCGGTCAAAATGTCCTGATTCGTTTGCGGTCTGGGAGGGACATAGGGCAACTCAGTAAATTCTCGCACAAACATGGGGACTCCCTAATCTTCCCAAGTCTTCTTGAAAAGCGCAACTTCGTTTGCGGCCCTCGCCGGGAGTTCTTCGAACCTTCTGATGAAAGGGCTCTAAGGGCCAGGGGCTCAAGGAATCGATCGACCTCGGCATCTCGTTTCGGGGAAAAAACGCGTACTGGGGTTTGGTTTGGGTACGAAAAGGGTACCCACTGTATCTAGCCTGAGGGTTTTTGGGTCCATGAAAATGATATCCTTCAGAATGCCATTCACATGGTTTGAAGGGAAACACCCCCCCAAAAGTGTTTGTAGTGTTTCCTTCAAATGTAACCACTTTGGTGCATCCAAAGACAATTGAGCATTACCCAAGACTGCCAAAAGGGCCATTTTAGCAGGTGATTCTACCCGTCTTCTTTGGTTTTCTGGTAACGCCTTTGTAGCCATGAATGTTAACAGGGAACCACGGTGGTCGACCACCTCGAAAGTGATTGGTGGACATCAATCCAACACCTAGATGATGTCCACCAACCCTTATGAAAATTCATAGCCATATAAATGTTTATCACCCTGTGAGTAGAACCAAAAGCGCGTCCGCTCGGGTTTGCAACGGGCGCTCTTGGCATTTTCTTCAGGATGTGGTGAGCGCCCCTGGCACGGGGCTGGCGGCTGTCCGGGTGATCCTGGACGGAGGTGGGGGCCGAGAAACGTGGCTTGAGGTTCTCGACATTCACCCCCCCTGGTCTTGTTTGTTTTTGGAATGGTGGGAATGAACTTGAAGGAAACAACCAGTCGGAGGGTTTTTTGGGGGTCATTCCAAGTCAGGAAGTTGTGGGTTTTACAGGGACGTCACAAGAATTCCATTTTTAGGCAATAAGGAACCAACTCAAGATTGAAGCACATGCCCATGTCTCTGAATCAGTGTATGGGAGTTGTTCAAAATGCGACTCGGACTCCCTTTGGTGAGTATTGAAAGGGAGAGCATTGAAGGGGACTGGGCCCCACACCCTGCAGGCAGAGTGAACTGCTGTTTTTTCAGGTTGATGAGTGCGTTCCCATTACAAGGTAGATTAAAAGTAAAAACAATCCAAAAGGAAGTCAAGGCATGGACCCCGTTCTCATGCCAAAAGCAAACCTCCCTGGAATTTTCGTCTGCAAAGGAAGCAACAAACCCGGACAGTGCAGCCCTTTTGAAACCCCAAGGTTGACATCCTGTCCAAGGTTTGTTTGTCTCTGAGTCGTTTTCGTTTGGGCAGGTGGCCCCCCTTTCGGCTCTTGTTTTTTTGACCCCAGCCTGATGTTGCCGACCCCAACGTGTCGAAACAGCCCAGTTTGTAGCCTGCCTCATGGGCCAGCCCGCCAAAAGTGGCTGATTCCTTGTGGAGGGCGATCAAACTGGTCCCAAAAGCACCGGAAGGACGGCCCTATTTGGGACAACCCAACCACCCACTCACCCACTGACCACCCACTGGCCAACCCACTTACCATCCACACATCCAAGAAAGGATGTCACCTCCAAACCACCAATCCAAACCACCAATTGGGGGAAGGACGAAAGGCTCTATGAGTTGATTCCCTATTCTCTTCACTCATCCTTCTCTTCAGAAACTAGTCATTTGGTCATTTGCCTGACGCGCCATTGTTTGAGTTGCATCACTGTTCCGCTGCAAATCCAAGCCAATCCAAACCATCAACCAAGGGTTACCTGATTTGGTCTAGTTACTCAAATACCGATCTGAAAGCCAGAGGTGTGCGCTCTACCCTGCCAGCATCTGATGGGTTCCTCGACCGCATGGGGAGATTCGGTCGAGAGCTCTTGAGAAATCGCAACCGCAGATGACCATGAAGTTCCAAGGGAATCTGGTGTATGGATTATTATAGTCATAGTGATTTCTCCGAGGGGATTTGTGCATTTTCCCATAGAGAGCCAGCCTTCGGCATGTGCCAAGGATCAAGTGGGACCAATGTTTGGTTCCTGTAGATTTGTCCCCTTCCCAGAGGCTCCTGGGGCTTTCAATGGAAGCCCCGACCTCTCCATTGGACACCCCGGAGATGTTTGGGGGTCTTAAAACCTGGCTGTTTGAGGGCCCTAAATGAATCGAATTGGAGCCTCTTGGGGCAAAATTTGGACTTCGCGTGTTGAGATCTAAGGCACTTCGCCCTCAACGGCGTGGCGCCGGGGCCGCACCTCCTCCAGGCGCAAGAAGCTAGTTGAAAATTTCCTCCGGGGTTTCCGGGCCATTTGGCCATGGGTCAAAAGCCCGGTTCCCCCCCAGCGAACATCCCAATCCAACCACTAAAATCCCGCCTAAACTGGGTGGTGAATTCACCTACCAACCAAAATGTAAAGACGCAGGGCTACGCAGGTTTGCTGTTCGTGTCCATTAGCACGGTGTCATTTTGGTACACATTTTTGAGCCACCGCCATTTCCCTTTGAACCTCCAGAAGCGGATCAGATGTGGACACCGCCAGGTCCTGAGATGAATCAATCCCTGTCTTTCGCTGTC